AGTGAAGTTTATGTTTTACCACAGTCCATGGCCAACTATGAGTTTTATCATTGTATGATGTAAGAGGATGAAAAATGACAAGGATCAGGATAGACAAATTTCCACTGTAAAGCTTAAAGCATGCTGAAACTTGCAAACCTTCTCAGTCAGCCAGGAAAAGTATTATTCTGCAGTTGAACCTTCATATGAGACGGGACCTGATTCAGCCTCCACCTAGTCAGCTATTATGGTGACAAGCTTAGAGCACTGTGCTTGTCACAGTATGTAACTGTACCTCTATTTCACTTTGGCCCCTAAAAGGCTCAGGGTGCTTAGAAAAGTGGCAAAGGCAGCTACTGTAGTGCATGCTGAAACACCCAAACAACCCAACATAAAAGAACATGTATTAGTCTTCATAAGGACGTGTTGCCAACTCATGACCAAGCATTGCCCTGGGCAGGAAAGTCAGTGTGTACTGTTCCTGTCTTAGCCTGCCCAACATTGTAAAGTACAGGAAAGGAAGGTCACAGTCAACACACAATCTTTCACCACTGCCGGTCTCAGTATACATGTACACAGGAGGAAGCTAGAAGAAAAAAGCACTTAGGTTATTGGGGTATCAACCAACATATGACCATTACAAAGACACACCCTCACAGCAGTTTTAAGCAGCTTACACACTTCACCAGTCATGTAAATGAGAATGCAGGTGCTGGCAGTATGCTCTTTGGAAAAATTACATATTTTCTTCAGGATCCATACATGCAATTTTTTTATAGTATACTGTTGTGTCAACTAGTGTACATTTGGTTTGTTCATGGCGAGATTTTGTACTAACAGGAAATGGTTTAAAACGACACACATCAATCAAACTCCGACTTTGGAAAGACACAATAAATGTTAAAACAATAAAGCAACTTCAGAGTTGCTATATACTTTCCTTGTTTGTTTTCTGTGTTCTTCCTGGAGCTGGCTCTCCACACTAAGATTTGTTTTCATTTCATTTCTTTGTGCATTGTAGTATGGGACAACAGGGTCAGTGAGAAGCACACTGAAGCAGATTTTTTATGCGTAACAATTCTCTGAGAATTATCAATTTCTTTTATACACTACACACCTAAAACCTGCTTGTACTGCTCAACTGGGACACAGCTAGTAAGATCACTCAGTTCCTTCTCTAACACAGTGCCCTCTGTATTCTGTGGCTATGTAAATGTGAGACACAGGAAGTTAATGAATGGTGCAACTGTGTGCAAACTGTGTGCATCCCCATCAGTCAGACCTTTTTCACAGCAGCCATTTTTACATGACATAGTAGGTTAATCACAGGTGTCACCAATGACGCCAATTAAGGTTCTGTTTCATTTAGTGTAGCAGAGCCTTTCCAGTGAGCCATCATGCATAATAGCAGCACCCTGACTCTGTTTGACCAGAATGGAACAGAACCATCATTCTCAACACCTGCATTAAAACATAACAGTTCTGTTAAGATTTCCACTGTCCCCTCAGTTAATCCTAATAGATAAGTCAGGTTTAACAAGGTGTTTCTGAACCAATCCACCCAGCTCTGACCTGGATTCCATGTGAGAAGAAGTTGTATTGCTCTGCAGAATGTACGTGCAGAGGTCAGGAGCAGCTGTCCTGTCGGGGTTTTATCCCACGTTTATTAGTTGAACTTTAATCGTGACAGACTTTGCTGCCAGAATGAAAAGTAAATTTCACAGTGGTTACAAAGCATTGCTTTTCTTCCATTTATCTTCACCTCCTAATTGCGATGAGTTAATGTGCAGCAGCCAAAGTGGTTCATATGGGTTTTTTGTGTTGGATAGTAACTGATTAGATGTAATCAGATTACAAAAAATAATAGTAAATGGTGAATGGACTGTACTTGTATAGTGCCTTACTAGTCTTCCGACCACTCAAAGCACTTTAACACTACAATAAGTAACTATATTCAAGTTTGAAAATAAATTGTAATTAATATAATCAAAGATTACTTGATTATGTCTTCAATATATAATAATCTTTAAAATTATGAAACAGTGTCCATTTTTTTGGATCGATTTTGAAGTGATCCAAAAGTATTCATTACATTTTGTATGTAATCCAATGTATTACGTTACTAATTCAAAAATTACCATGTAATTTGTATTCAATAACTGACTACATTTCAAAGTAATCTGACGTAGCACTGGGTATTTTCTATAACACTTTATACACACAGATATGTCCTTTTAAAAGCCATGCTGGTGGCTTCCTTTGACGTCCATGATGTTGAATTGAAGCTTCATGCTACCTTTAGGCACATGGTTTTGCCACTAAGCAAAAAAAACAACAAAGCCCATAAATGTTTTAAGAGTGCTTTGTGAATACCACAACTTCCAAACACAAAAAGGACAAACTCTGCAAGCCAGTGCTGGGAATCACCTTCTGCGTAAGGCCCTCTGGACAGACCTCGTGCCTTAATGGAAACTTGGCTCTGCTCTTCATCCACTTCTAAACAGACGGCTGCTTACACACAGTCTGCACATCATAATAAACAGACGAGGTGAACGCTGTGTTTTCACCCAGCAGAGCTTCAAACTGGTGCAAAAGAGAGGGAGGCCAGTGGTAATCACAACACAGCAGGTGACGCAGATGCATTAAAGCTCAGATAATCGAGAACAGATTGTGATTGTTCTTTACATACACGCGTGTCCTGTTCCTCAACAAATGCCCTTTTAGTGTTTCTGGGATATGATGTCTTTACTGGAGTAAGGGGTTCAAAGTGCTTAAATGGTAAGATTCTCAAGCAGGGACTGATAGGAAATTACTTCCAAAACTGCTTTCAATGCTTTCCAGATGATATGCAGATATGTTTTGACATATGTTTGTTTTTGACATTTTTGCACTTCTGTTACTTAAGTGCTGCTAAATTATACATCATAACATAGAGCGTATTCATTTATTTTACACAGACAAATTGTACCTTTAACAGAATGACAAACATTTCCATGAACACAGTTTTGCATACAAACAGTGACTGAATGGAAACATGGCAGTGATGGTGCCAAATAAAAATGGTGTGGGTTACTCATCTACTGTGCATAAAAACCAGTCCTGCAGGTTTAGCAGCACAGTGAGTACGCATTTAATGACATCCTGCTACATCTATTTAAAAAAATAAAAGCAACAGGGTGCTTGTGTATAGTAAATATGAGAATAAGCAGGTCTGTACATGGGTACAAAATTAAAATGAACGTTTTAGCTTATCTGCCAATATTCACCGGCCACCTAGCTGGTGATCCCAATTTATTTTTCCGCAAAAACCACCACATCTGGTAATTGCTGGTGTGTTAAACTTGCACCCTTTCTGGCACTTTTAGTAGTTAAACTGTTCACCTGTGCTTGAATCAAAATGAACTGGTCAATAATCAATCCAAAAGAATACATTTTGGGACGCTGGCAGTTATTTAGTTTGTTCCCGAAAAGAAGGCTACAGCATTCAATATATAATGCATCTATATCATTATATAGATCTGGGTCATTCAGGGGAGTCACGTCTCATGCTGAACCTACAGAGAAAGTAGAAGTAGGAAATTTTTTCATGTCATGTGACATGCGGTTGAAACTGAGAACTGGTTAACAATTTTTGGGACGTTACGTAAAACTAACATGACAAAGATTTCTGACAGAGCAATAAACTTGTGCTTGCGTCAGCTGATCAGTATCAACTGCTTCATTCATGCTTTATCAATAATCAGCGGCTTGGCTACCAGCTGACGAGTAGCTATATTCATACAGGTGTACATTTTCTCACTATCACTGCTCATGCCAACGCACTTGCTGCCGAAGCTCCCTCTAACCTCCTCCTATGGTGATGAAGCTTCTGGTATTGTTGACTTTAATAAGATCTTATGTTCACGCATGTGTGTGTTGAAGGGGGATCAGTTCTCCTAGCAGCAACGGATTCTTTGAGCTCACTCAAAGAGCAAAGCCTTTTCCGCCAAATCTAACAGTATAACTCTTTGCTATAAATGGTCAATTCCTTGACTGAAGTGTTACTGACTGACTGAACCACATTTCAGTGTTTAGCAGGTTTTCTACTACCCTCTGAAATATAGTTACTGAGGTGCTGTTGAAACAAGTTAACCTTAAACAGAAACCTTCACTTTTAAACCAAACTGAAACCAGTTTTACCAATAAATCTATCAATATTTTGACCTTAAAATCACCACTAGACTTAACTACTGATGAACAAACTGATACTATGAAAGTTTTTTTTAGACTGAAGTTAATCTCAAAGGAATGTAAAACAATGCATTCAGCAGTGCACATATCTATTTATTTTTTTAGATAAGAGGATATTGCGTCATCATCTCTGTACCAACCTGTCATATCTCAACATGCCATCACGTCGAGTAGTGCTTTGTGGATTCACACCCCTTGTGAGTAATTCATTGATTATGAACAGTGCAGGTAGTGTCACCAGAGCACAATGAATCAGTTGTTCATCAGAGGTTGTGACATGTGAGTGACAACAGCTCCTGGCAACAGGAAAACCCACTTTTATGGCTCGTGTCTGTGGTGGCTGCTGTAGTTTTGTTTTTTTCTTTATTTAGGAATAATATTTGTTTGGAAATTGTAAAATGTGCAAAGTATTGCATTGAATGCTTTGTGAATGTTTCTGGACTCCGATCAGAGCAGCTGCAACTTTGAAAAATGCTCTTGAAATGTAAAAGAAGAAAGAAAAACACACAATAAAAGGAGAGAGAGGTTCCATCCCTCCCTCCCGAACAGAACTTTATTTTAGGAATAAGTGCACTGAGTCTGCCATGTACCTCACATCTTGACCTTACGCTTAAAAATGAAATCCCGCAGGATACTCAGGGAGGCAATGTTTATGCAGTGACAGCCTATCATTGCCTCGGGCCCTGAGAGTCATACCAGGGCAAGGAACTGTTTACACAGCGAGAGCCAATCACGTTAAAGACATGTCATTCCAGGCCCGCCTTTCGACTGTCACACTCCGGATCGTGCCTGGAGAGAAACTATAAATTTGCCTGACAAGTCAAGAGGGAGAAGGAGAAGAGATTGAACCATGAGAGAGAACCTTGCTAGTGTGTCATCCCAAAACATGGCGTTCACTGACTGTATGAAACCCACTGACCTGTCCACAGAGAAGAAGGGGATAAAGTAAGTTCATGTGGTGCTTTATAAGAATGTTTCTGCTTATGATGACCTTGTAAAGTATATTACTCAGAATTACACTCTGCCATAAAACACTAATGAATATTTTTTTCTTTTTCCCAGGAGGAAAAACTGGAGAAACAGAATAGGATTTCTCTTGAAGACAAAGTCTTCCCAGTCAATATTACATCTAATGAGAAACAGACCTTACAGGTAAGACCTAATGCTATGGATATATTACATAACATCTCACTTTTATGCATATAATGCACATTTATGCACATATTGTTTGTGTTTCTTGCTGGTTATTGTTTGTTTAAGTTTCATTTATTTAAATCTTCTTGAACTTATTTTATTACAATATATATTTTATCTTTGCATTTTGATAATCAATTCAAGGATTGTGCATTGTTACTTCCAATTCGCATCTTAAAGCGCCGTGCCTCATCCCTCTTCTTCTCTACCCTCAGGCCAACTGCTGATGACGTGAATCAATGGGCGCAGTCACTTGACACACTACTCAGTCATAAATGTGAGTACCATTCATCACACTATTGGTGCTCGATTACATAAAAGAGTCTCAAAGGTCACACGGTAACTGTGTGCTAAATGAAAGCTGTTTATTGGCCTCAATAAAACACAGGCTGTAATGACTTTGCACTTACTTTACTTAACATTAATGGGCAAACTGCAATGTGTCTCTGGGCTTATGTTACCGGCCTCGTCTTTAACACTACTCTTTCTCTTCCCCGCCCCCTCCCACAGATGGGAAAGCTGCCTTTTGTATCTTCCTGAAGTCTGAGTTCTGCGAAGAGAACATTGAGTTTTGGACAGCCTGTGAGGATTTCAGGAACCACACGTCGCACAAAGAGCTGGTGTCCAAGGCCAACAGCATTTACGAGGAGTTCATTAAAAGCGAAGCTCCCAAAGAGGTAACAGCTAACAGATGCATTTGCTCTTAATCCAAATAAATCAGTTATTTGATTAGTTTATTTGAACTGATTTTAGCTTCATGGATACACAATACACAAAAGATTATTAAAAATGGATGTCAAAGGCTCATAACGGCTGTTTCTTTGCTCACAGATAAACCTCGATTTCCACACCAAAAATGCTATCACCCAGAGCCTCCATGAACCCACTGCAACTAGCTTCCTGGCAGCTCAGAGGAAAGTCTACAGCCTGATGGAGAACAACTCCTACCCGAGGTTTATCCACTCCGACCTCTACAAAGAACTGTGTAAAGCTGCGAGGGCAGAGGGCAAGCACATTAAGTCCTAGTCAAACTAGCCACCCAGTCCTGAAGTCATTTGTTTACCGCTGTGACTGTGTGAATAGACCACTGATGATGTTTCATTCCAGGCATCGCCTCGGGATAATAAACCCGAATGCAAATCCTGAGCATAAACATTACTGGCGAGTGTGGAAAATGCAAAACTGAAGCCATTTTTATTCCGTCCTGCTGAGAGCTTTCAACAAAGAAGCTGGGATGATTAGGATGGGTGCTATACGCTGCTGCAGGCGGTACACAAAGCATTTCCACCAGATGGGATTAAGGTTACATTTTCTTCACTGGGCCATTACCTGCACTTTCTTTACTACGCTGTTAGAATTTGGTATTTTGAGCAATGATGCAGTTCAAGAAAAGCTGTTGTAATGCAAATACATTCAAAGCTGAGGAAACTGTTGTCTGTCTAAACACTTTACACTAACTTTAACCGGCAATGCTAGAATGTATTTCTGCACTGATATCCACTTGAAGACTTTGTAAGCCTGTAGCTGTCATAAACACAGGACTTCCTATGTGACACTGGTTTTCACTGCCATGTTCCCCTGCTGGATTTGCATCTGTTTACACAAAAAAGTGGATTTTTTATTTATAATATTAACAGTTCCAACTGAAGACCTTGGCCTGAAATCCCTATGAGAATGTTATGTGTTGTAAATATTGTGACATTGCATGTGTTGAATGTGAATTGAAGTTTATGGCAGCTGGACTGCTTGAGAAATAAACATTATTGTTCAATGCTGAAATGCCTCTGACGCACTTATTTCTGAATTTAAGGCAAAAATGTCAGACTTCTTCAAGCATGGAAGTTCATTGCTGACATTTGGAAACAGTGTAACCATTTAAACTCAATGATCTCACGGTCTAGTTTGCACCTAATTCACTGTTAAATTGTCTACATTAGCGCTAAAGTGAATACTGAACTAGTCATTGAATTCCTAGGCCCTTGGAGGCAGAAGGAAACAAGCTGTAAACGCAAACACATTATTACCTTTAAGGTGCTTATTTACTGTACACATTCCAATGAGCAGCTTGCATAGGAATGAAGGGAGCGCCACCCCCGACACTGAATCCAGTTCTCCCTTAATAAAGCCAGTATTTACACATCCAGCTGAAATGGAAAAACAATAGCATTCATGTGTGTAGTCGTGTTTGTGGCCACTTGGTGTCCAATATTCACACTCCTTTAAACCACCTCCTGAGAGAAATAAGCCTCTTTAGCTGCTAAACTGTCTGCTATATTCACCAGCTAGCAGTTCACTTTAGTTCAGCTCTGAGCAGGGTTTATCAGAGCATCTGAAAACTGCTGCTGGTGGAAACTGTGTCGATGAGTGTCGTGAGGGTGAATCATCATAACAGTAAAGTTGGGGGTGTGAAGCCAAAACCAAAACTTAAAAAGACACAAGAGCTAAAAAGAAAGGAGGGTAACTGCAGTGTCAGGTAAAATGTATCTGTAGGGGTTACTTTTTTCACATATACGTAGTTATTTGATCCATTTTTAATATAAAAATATTGATTATAGCAGCTATAAACAGATTCTTTCATGCAGTTCCTATATGCAGGGTTGGGATGGTTACTTTAAAAATGTTTTAAAGTTCAAAAATAAAGAAACAAACCTGATTACATATTACATTACTTTTAGATTACCTCAACACCAAATATACAAATAAAGAGAAGAGAAAAGAAATATCAATAGGATGACGTGTATTCTATAAATCAACAGAACAATGTTACCTTAGAAAAGAAAATGTGGAAACTTTGATTTTACCAACAAAAATGAAAAGCTTGCTTTCCATTAAGCAAATTCAATTCGATTCATTATCTTCATAGCTGGAATGGGGAATATAATGGATTACAGTTACCTTTTCTTTGTAACCTAATAACATAACTTTGTTACATGTAATCTGTTACTCCCAACGTCTGTGCCTATATGGGCTTATATGTGTCTCAGAAAGTTCTAAAATATCTTGCTAAAGCAACTCAGAACATTTATCTTTCCACTGACTGTTAATTACTATCTGTCTTGAATATCAAAACTTGAAGTGGTGTAATGTAAATGTCATGCACTTTGGGTGTTTGGTTTAGCAGAAAGGCCAGACACATCCACATGCTGTACACACTGACATATTTTCAGAGACAATGTGCTGGACGTTCAGTTGCACAACAAAAACAACATTCCTCCTTTTTCTGGAACATTTCATTCCGCTTTGTGCAGCCGATGGGGGCCACGTCATCGCAGCCGAGTTCCCGCACTGTAACAATGTTTAAGGTCGTAAGGACAGAAGAAGAGAGAACACCTTGACTGACAGCAGAGAGAGTCCTCCTCTGCCTGCTGCTGTGTCTGCTCTCTGATACTGAGACTTCCAGCCGTGAACTCATAGTACAGGCTGACAGTGGCCAGACACCCGGACGTTGCTCCTGACAGGCTGACAGCTCCTGTTCCTCCCTCAGACCTGTGGCCTGCTGCTGAGGTGTAATGAGATCATCTTTTACACCAGCAGCTCTCCAGAACCGTATGTTCTGCTGGCCTACGGGTTAGAGGAGTAGGTCTGTGATCTGAACTTTAAGTTTCAAACCCAGACATGCTGGGAAAGTGTGTGCATGTGTGTGTATTTGTAATAAGAGTTATTCAGTTTATTGGAATTATTATAATCCCTTTTGAGCGACGCTACTGGCTAACAAGCTATACAGTAAAATGGTGACCACAGCAGTCATTAGACCTGCTAAACAAAAGCATGTTAGTTTGATGATTGTGAGCTCAAAGCACTGTCTGGGTTATCAAACGCCTCATTGGCTGATTTTAAATGAACCGATTCACTTTTTTTTCTCCATTTCCGTAAATGTCTTTTTCACACATGCACCACTGCACGTCTGCCAGTGGAAGAAAAAAAGGGGATTTCTAATACTTCGGCCAAGGTTTCTTTCATTTTTATTTTCTTTAAAGACTAATTATGAAAACCTATTCATCTTTATGAACAACAACAACAACAACAAAAAAGGCCAAACATTTGCTGGCTCCAGCTTCTCTGCTTTATATCATTCTACATACTGAATACTTTTGGGGTTTGGAAGAAAGGCCATCTTTAGGTCTTTTCCTGACATTTCTAATATACTAAATGATTAATCAGAAAAAGAACCAACAAGGGAAACAATCCTAAGTTGCAGCCTTAAAGCTAATTTTATGTTTCAAGGACTTTTTTCCTTGTCCGAGTACGGAACCGCTGCTTTTATGGGCCTCCAAAACCCGTTCAGACACTGTGCGTGATAATGAGCTGAACAAATAAACTCGACATTCCGTTACGCAGCAGTCTTTGGCTATTTTTAAAGACTTCATTCTTTTTGTAGCATCTGCATCTTCGTCCGTCTACAGCACAATACATTCTACGCTGTGTGACATCATCCAAGCATAAAGGATAAAACCGCGATGTAAAGACTAGATAATTACTGTTTGAAGGCAAAGCATTTTTTGGTGAGGTAATGACGGCATTCACAAACACCCTGCAGAACTGGAACACTGTCACTGTGAAAACTTTGTTTGTTCATCCACGTGGCCTGACCACAGATAAAAAAAGACACACTGTTCTCTCTCTCTGAGCTGGTAGTAAAACCTGTGAGTTTTCATTTGTTGCCATGAAGGATCTTGGCAACAGACTACTGGGACCATATCCAACTAGTACTTAAGGTGTGTATGTAAACACAGGAGCCTAAAATAGAAAAGGGCCACGTTCTACTTTGGTCGACAGACTGCGGATGCGTCAGTCTGCACGGGACTTCAGGACGCACACAGTGTTCAAGCACCACCCGTAAGCCAGCGAAGTACGGTTGCTTTGTACAGTACAAAGCAGAAGTTGATTTACAGGACAAATCACAGAGGCCACGACAGACTCCCATGTTCAAAACATCAACATACTGTTACGGGAAGCTATCCAAAAATCACACAAGTCACCAAACTTGTACCAGTCGTTTCTTAATGATGCACTTATAAGGACTTTGTAGCTTGTCAGTGCGTCTCATCAGGTTAAACGGTTAAATACAGATTTGAAGGCAAGATTGTTAAATATGTTTTTAAAAAGGTTTGATATTCATCTTATCAAATACATGTTGTAGATTCACTAATTAAATTTACATTGGACAAGTTTAGCAGATGTTTTTTTTTTGTAATATAATAAAAAATACACTCCTTGGTTTTCCTCTCTTTCACCAGCAGGTGGAGGCAAAGATCTACAAGTAAATCTGAGTGGCTGTATCTCAGTTGGGAGCATTTAGATAAAAATATCCAGTCTATAAAAGGCTGATGTGTGAAAAAAAAAAAAAAAAAAAAAAAAAGAAACCAGGATGGCCAAGAGGTAAAAGAGGCCAGCCGGTGACTGAAAGGTTGCTGTTTCAATCCCTGCCACAAAAAAAAAAAAGGGGTGTATACCAGCTGTGAGCTAGGGACTGAAGGGTGGCTGGTATCACATAAACAGTGCCAACCATCTCCCCTTTGCACTAAGCCCTAAAACTGCTGTACTCTGACCTCTCAGACGTAATGTGTATGTGTAACTAGAAGGGATATGCAAAAAGACACATTTCAACTACCTTATGTACATTGACAAAGTAATCATCTTAAAAAATAAAATAAAAAATCGGTTAAACAAACTTCTCACAAACGTCTAGACATTTTATTATGAAAATAAGACAACATAATTTGAGCACCCCTATCCTTCGGTCATGCATTAGAGCTCATGGACACACATGGAGAGAGTATATTGCCAGACAGTCTCTCTGCTACACCTGCAGTGCAGTTCTTAATGTCTGGATGCTTCACAGGATGCCACAGTGAGGAAGTGCTGCAGACCACCCATGGTCATTAATATGAATATGACAGATGATGTACAGTATCTGTATGTGGCTCAGTGACGAAAGAGTGACTGTGGGGTTCTGGATGCGTGTGTGTTGGCTCCTCTGTTGAAGTTTGTGGTCGTTCACTTGGCCTCCTGGGCTTTTTTGGCGCTCTGTTTCTCCTTCGCCTGGTGAGAAAAACCCCCAACATTTTCACTCATGTCCAGCATTTACACAGGAATCAGTAAAGAATGTTTTTATGACCCTAAAATCATCAAATCTGGGCACATATTGTGCAGACATTTCGTTTCAATAACTGTAGTTGATTCAAACTTACTTAAAGCATTGCAGAACAAAAATAACTTTTATGCCTTATTCATGAACTAGGCATGGCATGCTTATCAGACATTATGTTTGTCCTCTAATGGACAAAATAAACACAGAAGCTCTACGTTTTCTATTCATTGCAGTGATCAGTGTTTTGTTACAGTTTTCCTTTCATGGGACCCTTCACATTGACCTAAAAAAAATACTTGCTAGTAGCAACCAAGATATCTCATTAATAATTACTGGCATTTTCAAACACTGTTGGGTATCCCATCTCATCGAACGTGACACGCAAGCACTGAAAGTAAATACTGTAGAGGAAAACTACAGAAAGAAAAAAAAAAAAAAAAAATACCTTCTCCACCAAAGGTATTAACTGCTGGTACTCTGCCAGTGTCTTCAGTAGCTCCATGATGAAGGGAAGGTAGTTGTGCTTTCGTCGGATGTTTTCAATCTGCGAGAAAACACATAAATCCAAGTGAGGAAAAACTGGGAACTGATGTGTACGAAGGAAATGAACAGGACCTCTGTGTTGGGAGTACATTCAGAGGTGGCTGGAAACACAGCCTCTGTATCTATAATGTTCTCGTGGTTATTC